GCCCCGTGAAACAGCAAGGATTGACCGGCTCCCAGCACTGGGGACCAAGCCGGAAACTGAGAGGTACATGCCCTTGACCAGAATTGAACCTGTGATCCTTCAGTCCTCGAATGACGCTCTATCCACTGAGCCAAACCAGCAAGGGCTACAGATAACTATTATTAATAATCTGGTGTACTTCCTTTTTTGTGTTTTATTATTTTAATTTTATTTTTCAACTACAGCCGACATTGAGTGTTATTCTGTGTTAGCTTCAGGTGTACATCATAGAGGGTAGACACATACTTCACAGAGGGGTCTCCCTGACATTTCCTGTCCATCCTCGCCCACGTTCACAGTCATTACTGTGTGTGGCTGCATTCCCTACGCTGTGGAGTACTTCCTTTCTGATGCATTTTCCTCAAACATTTTTCCCCACTTTCCATTTTAGTGGAAGACTTATGACCCCGCATTTTCCCAGATGGAAATCTGGCTCCGGTTCGCCTTTGTGGTGCTCACCTTCATTGTCACTGTAAGTACTGCGCACCTGACAGCCACGCCAGGTTCTGACAAGGGCAGAGTCAGTTTGTGAATTTGGTCATCCTAGTGCAGACCCCACGGGTAGCTTCTCTGAGCTCTGAGACACGTGCCTCGGGCCTGACACTGTACACGCCGCACATCTGCTCGGGTGCGCAGGACAGGCGGTGATGCGGTCTCCGTGGCAAGGACGTCCGTGTCGGAACACTAACCCCAGGGCGCTGACTTGCAGGCAGACCCGCATCCGTGGGCACTGACCAGTGCCACTCCCCGTGCAGCAGGAAGGCGCCGGGTTTGCGTGACCTTTCAGTGCAGGTGGTGATGTGGTCTCCGTGGCAAGGACGTCCGTGTCGGAACACTAATCGCAGGGTGCTGACTTGCAGGCAGACCCACATCCTTGGGCACCCAACTCAGATATGCAGAGCAGGGGATTGTGGTCTCAGGCCACGCCCAGGGCTTCCTTCGTGACTGACTGCAGGAACCACCACTTATAGTTGGTCAGTCAGAAACCCTTGCTGTTTCTGGAAACATCTCTGGTACCTGGGATTCTGCTGCACAGTCTGGGCCCAGAGAACAGGCCCGAGAGAAAAGGCCAGGGCCTGACAGACAGACTGGAGGACATGCCCGTTGGCCAGGAGCCCGCATTGCGAGAATGTGATTAGCTTGTATGACATTGTAGGAAACAAAACAAAAATACCCCAGGCTCTACCTCACACACTGCATGATGTTTAAAGCAGGTCAAAGAGGCTTCTCCCACAGGCCACTGCACCTTCGTTGGGGGTTTTGAAGATATAAACACATCCTCTGACCTTAGGTGTAGGCCTGGTTCCCTTGGCTTTTCCTCTGGGAGCCCAGTGCCATCTGTCGTGTTGCCTTGCGTGGAGCATGTGGCCTGTGCCCCGGGGGAGCTCTCTGTGTGGCTCTGTTCCCCTCCTGCCCCCTCCTGCCCTCTCCTGCCCATCTGATCTGGGCCCCTTGCAGCAGTTACCATCTCGTCGCAGTTGTCACTGGTGGTCTCAGTAGTGAGTTCAACAAGGGCTGCCTGCGAGCTCTTGGCCGGACCAGGACGTGGGTCTGGGAGATGGCGGTGCTCGGTGGGAGCCGGCCCGCAGTGACGAGGCCGCTTCCGTTGGCAGTGCCTGTTCGCACATTCCCTCCGCAAGTTCTCCATGAGGGACTGGGGCATGGAGCACAAGTGGATGTCCATCCTCCTGCCTCTGCTGCTACTTTACAACGGTAGGTGCGCTTTTATTCGGGCTTTCCCCTTAGAAGGGAGGGCTGGGAGGCATCCGCGAGGTGGGCTGGGCTGTCCCCCTAAGTGTGGGAAGGAAGTCAGGAGGGGGGTGCCTCGAAGGCACAGGCAGCAGCGCCCCCAGCATGTGAAGGATGCCGTAAGGATTCGGAAGATGCTGGAGCTTTCACAAATGAGTGACTGCAACTCGGATGGGCTGCAGACAGCCTCCTTGGGACTTGGCTGAAGGCTGCGAGCCCTGCCGTCTGTTCCTCTTCTCTTGCCCAGAGCTGCACCTCGGGATTCCCGGGCCTGCGGGAGGCGCGGGTGGCGGGAGCAGACGGCGTTCTGTAACCAGCACAGGGCCCATCTGCTGGTTGGCTTTTAGGTTTTTTGAAAAACAAAACGGCCTTTAGTGTACCCCCTTCTGTCCCTGCCTCTGCTTGCAGACCCGTTCTTCCCCCTCTCCTTCCTGGTGAACAGCTGGGCGCTGGGGACGCTGGACGACCTCTTCCAGTCCCTGTTCCTGTGTGCCTTGCTGCTCTTCTGGCTGTGTGTTTACCACGGGATCCGGGTGCAGGTGAGCCGCCGCCCTAGCACTGCCGGGGGTCAGGACTCTACCCATGCCTGCCTGCCTCTAGTGGTCATCCCTGCCCGCTTCCGTAGGTCATCCCTGCCGGCCACTGGTGGTCATCCCTGCCCGCTTCCGTAGGTCATCCCTGCCGGCCACTGGTGGTCATACCTGCTGGCTGCTGGTGGTCATCCCCAGATGAACTTGGCCTTGGGGGCTTATCTCCAGCCTTGTGGTCAAGAGAAGCATGCACCCATGCAGAAATGGTCTCAGTGTGTGCAACCCAATGCACCCTCTTAGGGTTAGTGGTTTGCTGAATTACTAACTTCTCTATTTCTTACTCTTTTTTGCTTTTTAGGGAGAAAGGAAGTGTTTGACCTTCTATTTGCCTAAATTCTGCATTGTCGGACTCCTGTGGTTGGCTTCGGTCACACTAGGAATATGGCAGACGTGAGTATTTTTATAACACGTGAAACTTGTCCTGGACAGCAGCTGGCATGTGGATGGATCTGAAGTCTGACTGTGTGCTGTGCAGCATGCGGAAAGGAATCTGTCACCCAGAGTCTCAAGACTCAGTAGGGCGACTTGACCTGAGGATTCCATTTTGCTAGAATGGCATGGGATGGGAAAGGGAAGAGGCGTGTCCTTCTGGAGTCCTCCTCCAGAGAGGCCAAGGCGTCATCTGTAGGCGTGCGCTCAGGTCGTGCCTGGCTCGCCACGCCCACCAGGTGTCTTAGCTGCTCCTTTGGCTGCGACCTGAAAACTTCCCATGTTTCTAAGTATTTCTGTGCTTCTGTAGAATGGTACCACTGCAGAAGCCTGTGGGTTTTCTGCAGAAACTAGAAAACCCTGGCACCTGGCACAGGAGACTTCATAGCTCACACTTTCTCCCCTCCCTCTCCCTGCCCGCCTGTCATTCCAGCAATCTGGTTTCACTTTCCAGTGATGCAGGGAGTTTACAGTTATTTTACTGCTTTTTGTGTGGACTCATCTGCTTCCTGGTGCCCATTTGTCACTGGAAACAGCTCTTAAAATTGCAGGAGTAATAATAGTATAGGGATTTTCGAAACGAAAAACACTCCAACTTTCCCATGGTGATACTGTGGACAGTTAATGCTAGCAGCATCATATGCATTGTCAACATGAGAGTTAGGATTCCTCAGAAATTTAGGATTACTTTTTCAAAAGCCTTCATCTAAGTGAAAGTATAAAATAAAAAGTGAACTAATTATTAATCTATGGTTTCTTATAACATATTTTTAGAGTTAATGAATTGCATGATCCAATGTACCAGTATCGCGTTGACACAGGAAATTTTCAGGTAAGGATTGTTAATGAAGCCTGCGGATTTTTTTTAAATGCCATTTTTTAAAAAATGACTGAATTTTGTAATTTAAATTGTGCTGTTGATACAAACTTGCTAACCAGCTATTTGAAAAGGACTATAGGAAATTCATGTGGAAAATTTTGAAAAACATTCTTGAGTAGTCTGAAAAATAACTCCTTAAAAGCTATGCTGTTACTCCTGGTCCTTGGCTTATGGCTGAAGCTCCAGGGCCAGTGAGTGTCCGACTGTAGGGACACCGTGGGACAACTAAGGAAATGTTTTGTTCATTTGTTCTCTCATGCGGGCGGTTTCCAGCGGGAGAGTGGGGCAGGGCCTGGAGCACAGGGCCCAGCTCCGGGAGGCGCCGTCCTGAGATCCTGTCCTCTTCGAACCAGGGCCCACGCATCTTCACTTTCACGGTCAGCCCGAGTGGTGTCCTCTCAGCTCCAGGCGCTGGCGCCCTCTAAGTCTCCGAGTCGTGTGCCCAGGGGCACGGAGCCGAAGCTGACCTTGGGTGGCATTAGCATGTCTTGGGGTGCACTCCCTCCAGAGCGCCCTGTGAAGCCGTAACGCCGGGGCTCTTTGTGGGAGTGGCCGCAGAGAAAGAGGGCAGTTTAGTGGGTGATGCCGTGGGAAAGGTGCAAACCTGTGTGGAGACTCGAAGGAACGAGTGTGAGTATCTGAATCTTCACTCGAACCCAGTGGGGTGCCAGTGGCCTTTCCCGTCAATAATGGATCAGTGTGAGGAGTTCGGAAGGTCACTGAATGTAAGCCTTACAAACAGCATGCCATGACCTTTGCCCTCGAGGACAGGTGACCTTGTGAGGGAGAAAAGCACAGAAGTAGAGACCGGATTGGTGAGGGTTCAGTCCCACCTGTGGACGGTGGGCCCCAGGGACGAGGGTGGTGGCATCTTTGCTTTGTCCTTTTTCTGCCATTGAATCAGCCTTCGGACACGTTAGTAATACGGGGAGAGCAGCACCTTGAGCTGGAGTGGGGAGGCGTTCTGGGCCAGGGAAGCCACTGCTCCCGGGTCACGTGGGGACGGCCGTGCCCAGCAGGGAGACGGCGTCAGGCAGGCTCCTGTTACCAAGGAAACACTGGTCAGACTTCCAGGAAGCTGAGTAAAGCTCCAGAACCACGACCGATCTCGTGGAATCCCTTTACGTTACAGACAAGAAAATGAAGCCCAGAGACAGTCACAGTTCTGACGAAGGCAGAGCAGCCCCCTGGCCTCCTGACTGGCAGGCCTTTGACCTGGGGTGGGGTGGGGGGTGCTGGCCCTGAGAGGAAAGGGCAGGGATGGGGGGGGGGCTTAGATTTGGAGAAGGAGCAGCACCACCCACCCTGCGGAGCCAGCCCTCACCACCTGCCTCCCCACCGCAGCTTCTAACCTCAAAACGAAGTGTTCTTGTTTTTTCTGCAACAAAACTATAGAATTGTGGATTAGACCTAACGTCCTCTAGATGACTTCCTTCCGCCCCATTTCACAGATAAGAAACCCAGGTCCAGAGAGATGAGAGTTGCCTGAGGGACTCTGTCTGTCTTTGACACAAGCCATGGCCTCTGTAGCCAGGGCAGGCAGCCAGGCCTCCACCCGGAGGGCGGAAGTAGGACCGCTGACATCTATCTGCTGAGCGCCGCTGCGTCCAGCCCTGTGTGTGCGGGGCTGGCCGCGTGGAAGGGAAGGAGTCTGGGTTCTCCCTCAGCTGGTCAGCAAGTGCTGGGTCCTCGTGGGGCCGCTGCGCTCAGAGAGGGCGGGGGCTGAGCCTGGGCGGGGATGGTCGGCACAGCGGGAGCGCTCCTGTTCTGTTGTGGGGCGACCTTCAGGGCTCCAGGTCCTTTCCTCCTGCGGTTGGAAGGCGACGCCGCAGGACCTGCTCCTACTCCAGTGCCGTGTTGTTGCGTTCCAGGGAATGAAGGTTTTCTTCATGGTGGTGGCTGCTGTCTACGTCCTATACCTTTTGTTCCTGGTCGTGCGGGCCTGCTCGGAGCTGCGACACATGCCTTACGTAGGTGAGCGCCACTTCACAATGCCCGGTGCGAGGTGGTCAGGGAGGAGTGGCTGGAGGCCACCAGGCAAGTGACCTGGAGGGGGAAGATCCAGAGGGTCCCTGGGAGCCAGACGGCTGAATGGGTCCCTCTGGGCCATGGGGACGGAGCCTCGGCCAGCGCTGGGGGAGGCCTGTGGGCTGGAAGCGAGCTGGGCCCTGGGAGAGCGTGGGTTGGAGCTGCCTGGATCCTTCCAGCAGGCACCTTGCGGAGGGCCCGGCTGGGGCAGTTTCTTAGTCCTTGAGTCGGGAAGTCACCGATCTCGTGGGGTCCTTTCCCCGATCTGTCACAAGTCATGTGGCTGGGACCTGCCTTCTGGCCCCAGCATTCCTCCTGGCTCGGCACTAGCAGGTTTCAGATCGGAGGGAAGAGGGCTCTTGTGCAGGGATTCGCTTTATTTCTGGGCGCGACGGAAGTGGAATGTACTTCCAGGGGGTTTCACGGGGGTGTTCCTTTCTTTTTCAGATCTCAGATTAAAATTTTTGACTGCGTTGACTTTTGTAGTGCTTGTCATTAGGTAAGAAAACTATTCCTCAAAGAAGCAAACTGCATGTTAATCTTACTCTTGTGGTGTCTTTTCTCCCCTGTGACGGTTCACTGGCATCCTCCTGTCAGATGTGCTCTGCAGCTCAGAGAGTACTGGCCCCTTGGAGGGTCTGAGGCCACAGGCGAAGGGACCTGATTTACACTTTCGTTAACAATTGTCCTGCTGGGCTGCGTGTGGAGAATGGAGCCCATGGAGGGGAGGAAAGGGAAGGGGAAGGGGAAGGCAGGTGAGGGGCGGAGGATTGGGGTGCTTCGGGGCAGAGCCTGGCGGTGGGCTCACCTTAGCAGAACCTCTGTTGCCACTTGTCGGGGCAGGTGTCTGACAGGGAATCGCTGCCCAGGGCGGTGATTGTGGAGGAGTGGACGTTCCTCCGGGAGCCGGTCGTTAGGAGATGATCTTGAAAACATGAACCCAGGGAGTGAGAGGAGGAGGGGATGTGCTGAAGGTGACCTCCAAGGCCTGGATTCAAGTCTGTGCCGTGGCCAACGTCAGGTTAGCTGACTGTACCGGCAGCTGGCCCCTGCCCCTGAGGCCACACCCTCACGCAGGGGACAAGTTTCCATGCAGGAACAGTCGTGATGAGACTGTATGTTATGGGGCGAATACAACAACTTACACGAGGCTAGTGCTGTTACTTCCTGTATCTTACATATTTCCCTCCTTTTTTCCAGCATCATCATCCTTTACTTACGGTTCGGAGCACAAGTGTTACAAGACAATTTTGTAGCTGAGCTGTCAACTCACTACCAGAATTATATCCTTTCCCTCATGCTCAGGGCTTCCAGATGGAGTGGTTAGCAGTCAGGTCTCTGAGCACCACAAAGAGGCGGGTTACCTTCTGGGCCTGTACTGCCTGGGGTGCCTGGGGTCCCGCCCCGTCTGCAGAGAGGTGTGCCTGCCTGGCCCTGCAGCTCAGGCTCTCAGGCTGGTCAGCCCCAGTCACCAGGTGGATTCAAGCCCGGGGCCCAGTGTCTGTGGCCACTCCTGACCTCTCACCACCACCCAGAGGCCTCCAGCTGCAGTCCGTGTGGTTGGTAATGAGGACAGTTTGAACCTGTCTCCAGGGAGGGCTTGTAACCTGTGAGGCCTCCTTGCGTTCCTGCGTGGGTGCCCGTGGGTGCCCGTGGCCACGCCTCCGCAGGGAACTGTCAGGTGTGTGACAGGCTAGGTGTGTTTCCCACTCGATATTTGTCATTGAATTTCACACTACACTTTTATCAGCTTCTCAAAGCGTCTGTCATCCAGAAAAGGGGTAAGAACGACTGCTTTGAGGGCCTGGTTCCACCTCTCCATTTCATTCTTGATTCACCCGTGTGGCCTTCCCGCCCTTCCCTGGGTCACGGGTCCTGCCTCCTCGGAGGTTCCCGGGGGTAACCTGTTCCTTGCAGGTAACCTTGCAAGGTTGCTGTAACCTCTGGCCATGGGCTTGTCCTGTGGTGGCCAAGGTCTGGGTTAGGGGGCCCGGGTACTGGCGGTCAGTGGCAGAAAGGGCTGGTGGGTAAGGAGCAGACATACTGACAGCACAGACCCGGCCTGACCGCCGCCCGATGTGGAGCGTTCCAGGTCTGCTTGCTTCCCTTGACAGTGCCACCAGCTGAGTTCTTATCTTTCTATGGCTTGTTGAACTTTTACCTCTACACACTCGCCTTCGTGTACTCTCCATCGAAGACCGCCCTGTACGGTAAGCCGCCGGGTCCGACGCTGGAAGTTCAGGGCCCATCTCCCGGCTTTCCCTCCTTCCCTAGCAGAGAGAGAAGAGGCCCCTTTAAGTGTGAGCTCTGCGACTCGGAACACAGCGGCTGTGTGTGGTCAAGCACGGGGTGAAAAGCGTGTGAGGTCCCAGCACGAGCGTCCTGTCCGCCTGCCACAGGCCATAGTCTGTTGAATGCTAGTGCCATGACCCCGAGGAGAGAGTCACATTGTACAGCCCTCCTCCCGGGAAGCAGAGCCAAGGGCAGCCGGCCCATGGGAGTGGACAGGACGAGAGCTTTCTGGAACCGGGGCAGGGCCTAGCGTGTCTGGACCACTTCTGACTCTTATATCCCGTGAGTTCTCAAAGCATCTCCGTGAAGAGGCTTGTTTGAGCTTCACGGCAGCTGTAGAGAAAGGTGCAGCTGGGCCCGTTTGCTGCAGGCCCAGGGACGGAGGGGAGGACAGGCGGTCCTCCTGCTCCCTGTGCACTTAGGGCAGTGGTTCTCAACCTTGGCTGCACATTAGAATCACCTGGGAATCTTTAAAATCCTGATTTCTGGGCCTCATCCTCCGGAAATTCTGTTTCTTTGTTACAAATGTTGTGGCCCCACCCCATCACAAAGAAACGGAATTTCCGGAGGATGAGGCCCAGAAATCAGGATTTTGAAAAGAATCCCAGGTGATTCTAATGTGCAGCCAAGGTTGAGAACCACTGACTTAGGGGAAGGACCGGAAGCGAGGCAGCGCCCTCCGATTGTGGGCTCCCGGTTGCCCAGCAGTGCTGCTGCCCTGGTGGGCAGGTGAGAAACATGCTCGGGGCACAGAACACTGTCCCGCTCCCACAGTCAGTAGTGGCGGAAGCTGGGCTTGAACCCAGCTCTGTCCAACCCGTCCTAGGACGGCATCCTCTCCGGGCTAATGGCCTAGAAAATGCTCTGGTTGTTTTCAGAGTCGCAGCTGAAAGACAACCCTGCCTTCTCCATGCTCAACGACTCGGACGACGATGTCATCTACGGGTGAGTGCACGACACCTGATGGCTGTCCCGGGGGCACTCAGCCTGGGCCTGTGTGCGCGTACTGAGCCGGTGTCAATCAGTCTCAGATGATTTTCAGGGTGTCCTAGCACGTGCTAGAGCTGGCGGTGTCACGTGGCTTTGCTTCCACGTTATCCTGGCTGAGATTGAATGGTGTTCTGTTTACTCGACACCCAGCCAGTGGTGACCACAGGAGGCCAGTGCTTTCTGGATGGTGGGCCCTGGTGATGGTGCGGGTGTGGAGTGGGCACTTTCAGTTGGCGATAGAAAGGGAGCAAGTGAAGCTATGAGACCTTGTTAGAATGGCGTGTCATTGCGGGAGAGAAGCCGTCCCAAGCGTCTTAGTAGCAAAGGTCTCTTTTATAACAGGAGTGACTATGAAGAGATGCCCCTGCAGAACGGCCAGGCCATTCGGGCCCAGTACAAGGAGGAGTCTGAGAGCGACTGAGCCCCTGGGAGGGCAGACGTGGGAGCCTGTCCTGCAGTGGCCTCCTGCCCTCCCTCACCTGCCTGTGTGCGACTTGTCTTCTAGCAGAGATTTCCGGGTCCTTATTTGTTTACATACTTTTTAGAGGAAAACCAAAACTGAGGACCAAGTTTAATGTTGAGCCAAATTTATTGTTAGGGTGGCTGCATTTATTTGGGAAGAGAGGCGCTGACGCAGCCAAATTCTTTTTCAGAGATTTCAGATGAGCGAGAGCTTGTCCTCAGTGGTAGGAAGGGAGTGACTCCTGTTCTTAGTAGAGAGAATTATGTACTTACTTTAAGATGATTTACTAATCCCACGTTGGTGGGGAGCTCTTCTGAAGGCCCACCGCATGGCAGCGTTCCCTCCCCCTGCCCATGGTGCGTTTTCTGACTGAACTCCAGGGAAGCCTGTGTGCACGCTGCCTCTGGGGGGCAGTCCCTCCCCAGTGAGTGGCTGGTGCTCTCCCAGGACGGCAGCTCCTGTTAATGTGAAATAGGAAGTAATAGCTCAGGAGGGGAAGGTGGGTGGCAGGTCCCGCCCTTCACCCACCAGGGCAGAACGGTGTTGGGACGTGGGGCGTTCGAGGAGGGTTTGATAGGGTTTCCAAGGGAAGAGCAGGTAACTGACAAGTTGCGGCTCTAGTGGGAAAGGTCTGGCTGCCATAGGTCTCCCAGGGGTTGTGTGCATATGTGTGCATTTGTATGTATGATGGTCACATCCATGGATCTGGAGGGATGGCCCTGTGGTGGGGGCAGGAAGAGGTGTCCATTCAAGTCCAAGGAACAGCACTTTCTGCAGCTCTGCTATGAGGACACCCAGTAGAACTTTATTTTTTTAATAAAAGCTAAACAAATGATTGACATGTGACATTTCAATGGCTCCTCACTTCTTTACTGCCCAAAAGCTTTTTAGTTTCTTATTTGGAACTAGATGAAAGGAAGTAAAGCATTTTGGATGGTTTATGGAAGAACCTCTTTGGATAGAAGGTAACTTGTTGGGAATGTCTCGCCTGGCGGTCAGTCCCCTGGCGGCCGCCGTTCCTGTCCCACCAAGCACCCTGGTGGACACCCCTTGCTTCTGCTGTGAGATGCTCGGAAAGGCCTCCAACTGCTAACAAGCCCTTGGCAGACACCGATTGGCCTGGCAGATGCAGAGGTTGGGTGTGGCTGTTCGCTGTGCAGACAGGTCCTGCACATCCTTCCCCCGTGCATGAACTCTCAGCTCACCTCACGCTCACCTCCTGCCCGGAGAGGGTCAGGAGTCCCGCCTAGAGGTCAGGAGGGACTGCTCATCACTTCAGACCTTCCTTTTTAATTTAAACATCAGTGATAAAATACCTTTAATATGGATTCCATTTATGTTTTTAAAGCTCTGTAAATATGAACGTTTGGATTACAACTGTATTACTGCAAGGGTAATTCAGGTTTACATGGTTTTTTATATTTGCAATGGTGTGTTACATTTTTTTATTCTGTGTGCTCAGAAATGTTGGGAAAAATTTTGTTACCAAATTTTACAACCTCTATTAAGACTAACTATAAATAATGTTATGTAAATTGACAATACTTACCTGTGTTAATAAATGTATCTGAGTATGTGATATAGTTTACATTTTAATTATAATTGCCCATAATTTGGAACACTGTTATTTATCAGTAAGTGTAAATTTGAGGCATTTAGTCACATAACTTAGAACTTTTTTGGCCTGTACTGTAACCATAAACGGATGACTGATATCTTCATATATTGATTCATCATGGTGTCGAGTTAATGAAAGGAACAATATGGGCATATTTATTTACTTTGTGTAACTAAGTTGGAAACAAGAAAAAGCTTACAAAAGAAAATCCTTAAGGGAAACAAATCATGCATTTTCAATTTCCCTTCCTGGTGTATCATACATATCAACATACTAGGGGCCTGGTGCACGGGTTTGTGCACCAGTGGGGTCCCTCAGCCTGGCCTGCACCCTCTCGCAATCCGGGACCCCTTGGGAGATGTAGTAGTGTGCGAAGCGGCAGGCAGCCAGGGAGGAGCCCGAGCCCTGGCTGGGCCCCACACCACTCCTGCTCATCCCAGCCCCACTGTGCTTGCCGCAGCGCAGCTCAGCCACCGCAACTGCGCTCACCAGCCATGAGCATGGGTATCTGGCGCCCCTCAGTCAGCTGAGTGGCACTTCTGCTATGGGAGCGCACTGACCACTAGGGGGCGCTCCTGTTTTGAGTGTGCCCCCTGGTGGTCAATGTGCATCAGTGACTGGTCAAACAGTCAACCAGTTGCTTAGGGTTTTATATATATAGATTATATACTCCATGTAAAATTTTGCTTAAAGTATATTTAGCATATACTTATATGTGCCCTAGGTGTTAGATTAAGACACTAACATCTGCCAGAAACTTTAAACAGTAGCAAGAAATTATTTCTTTGGAGCCTCAAAGTTTTGCAAATTTAAATTATAAAGTCAAAGGGCTAACTTTAGTTCTTCCATGGTAACCGCTTGAATAGCACCATCTTTGGGATAACTTTTTATGTTGGTCCCGTCGAGGGCGACCTGGGAGATGACCACAGGTATTTCCGTCATCTCTGTGGACAACCGTTCCTCTTGATTTATTAAACCATTACTGCAGTGAAGTGATGTGGTTTCTCTCTCTTAAGCCCCATTTGAAAGGCTAGAGAAGGCGATATATAGAATGGATTCAAGGTCAGTCCTGTATAGGATTACAGACTGTAGTAAGCTTAGATAATTATGTACACCAGCCCACTAAATGGGGAAATTTATGACAAATGTCACCAGCCTCTAAATTTTGTGAAGTATTTACTAAAGGTATAGTTATGGTAAATAGGTTATAATGTGGGCAGTAACTTACTTCCTGGAATCCTTTTCACAGGAACAACACAGACTCCAATCAAAGGGATGATTAAAAGGGATGCCTACAAACACTAAAGTATACTTAGGTATTTTAAGGGTTTTAGAAGGCAGTTGCCTTAGAGGTTAGACTTTCAAAAAAAAATCTTTTCCCCAGGCCAAAGGGAAGTTGCTTTAGTCTATGACATCTTGTTATCCTGTTTGTCTTGATTTCATGTGTTTTAGATATACTGGTAACTATACCATACTCTGAAATACAGGATTTTTCTGCTACTGAAAACTGCCTTTTTACAAGACTGTAAATATTTGTAAAATAACACACACTAGAGTTAAAGCTTGAAATGGTAGAGCTGCGAATTGGATCTTAGAATTGTCAGTGGGCACAGTAAACCCGATCACAGAATGAGCTCTGTAATCAGTTAAAATGAATAAATGTTTATTTATGGCAAACTTTGGGAGTGGCTTCATTCTGAGCCTACCTTTTTGGTATGTGTATGTTTGTAATATTTGATCCTTTTTTATTACGTTGGTTTGCTCTTTGCATGTGGAGTTAACTTGATCTTTCATACAGGAGTGGTTTCAGGACAAGAGCAGGGTTTTTTTCATTTCAGCAGGTGAACATGGAGTGTGTCTTTATTGCCAAGATAATGTGGCCCAAGGATGAGCACAAAGATGAGGTCACAAGACCGGGGTTTGGGGCCCAGCTCCTTACTTACTTGGATATAACTTTAAATCAAGCCAATAACCTCCAAACACATTTTCTATAAATAATGGTGTTAATTGTTGTAGATACAAAATAATGATTGTGAAGGCATTTTGCAAGCCCTAAAGTACTAAAAAATTTGTGTATGTGAGATTGCTACTGGAAATGAGAACACGGAGTATAAGCTGTAGTGCTGCAGATCTGAGCCGTGTGTGTGCATTAGAGCTCCTGGTTAAGGGAACAGAGTCAGTGGGCCCACTTCCCACCTGCGCTCTAGGAGAGGGAGCCTTAGGATGGAGGTAGACGAGACCTCACCAGAACACAGTGGAGCTGTCAGGGGCTGGCCCTTGGGTTAGCAAGTCTTTGTGTTGGAGAGAACCAAAGCCAAATTGCAGTTTGTTTTTGTTTTCCTTTTTAGTTTTATAGATGCTGAAGCACTAATTAAATATGAAGATTTTGTTTGTGATACTATTTAGACCAGCGGTCACCAACCGGTGGTCCGTGAGGTCCGAAAGGTTGGCCACCACTGATTTAGACTAAAGAAAAACAAACTTTAAATTGGAATAATTTATTCTAACAAAAGTACAAAGTATGGAAAAATTAGTGTGTTTGAATGATTTCAGAGAGTAGAGAAAGGTTCACACTAGCAGGGTGAGTGTTTAGCACCTTTGAACAGAGATATTCAGAGTGCGGACAGTGGCAGTCCAGGTTCCGACGGCCCAAGAACGATCCGTGATTGAGGGTGTGCTGATCACAGGACAGTGCGGTCGTTTTGGTTTTCTCTGCATGTTGATGCCACAGAAAACAAAGAGCGGGAAAGCTGTTCACTGAATTCATGGCTGGTGGTTAGAAAATGGGAGAGAAATGTTGAGACAGAGGAGAAAGAGCCCGGGTGAATGAAGTGGTCAGTCAGATGGACAGTCCGAAGGCGCTGACGATGCAGTACATGGTCTTATTCTCCCATCGCACGGTGCAGCTCCCTGCGGGCAGATGGCACTGAAAGTCAGGAACATGGGCCACCTCGTGTTGATGTCTCACTATCCGGCCCCAACACTCAGATACTTACCTCTTTGTGGTACAGACATAAAGGTTGGCAAGTCTCTTTTCTATAAAATGCTTTAAAGGTAACTCTAATAAGCATGCATTCAGAGACAGGAACATCCACACACACAGTTCAGGAAACTCGGCTTTGGACAATCTAGATCTCAGCAGGTCCAAGAAGACACCACCACCTCAGGAAAATGCCCACGACAGACTCTGACCCAGAGACTGAGAACCGTACCGTCAGTAGAGCTGTCCCAGAAGCAAGAACTCGCCGTGTGTAGTCCTGCTCCGTTCTTCTGCATAATTATACAGGTCACTTCAATGAAAACAACTTTCATTAGCGAAATCTACTTGGCAACACACATTTCTTTTTGCCCACTTTCAGCATATGTATATTGATCATGTGGTTGATGCTCATAAAAATTAAGGTCCTATGACACTGACAAACCACACCTGTCCCTTCCCTTCGCTGCACACCTGGTCTACAAGCATCTGACCTGAAGTCCTGGGGCATGCCCTGCAACTGTTCCAGCTGCCAACTAGGCCAGGTGATGCCAGCTATGACCTAAAGTAAAGCAATGTGCACAACACAAGTGACACTTGTACAGGGAACTTGAAGGCTGGGCACCACGCTGACACAACCACTCTCTTCTGACACTAGTCCTGCCTCTCATCAGTATTTCAAGAACCAGCATCCATATATACAAGAAGCAAATCCATTACCGATGTATTTGAACGGTTTTCCCAGCTTGGTGAGTTGGCTTAAAGTTTGTTCCACGACATTTGTGGTCCACTGATTGACTTTGCTGTGCTGATAGGCGTTGCCACCGATGGCACTTTCTATAGCCTAGGAGACAAAGCACAGAGGAGTCGCTACCAGCAGAGCGCACCCAGCACCTTCCAGTCAGTATTCAAGCTCATCCCCTAAGAACTGCTGAAATACAGTTTGCATACAATGTAAGCTTATTTGTATCCATGAGATCAAATACACCTTTTGTTTAATAGTATCATATTTAAATAAGTTTTACATTTGTTTTTAAGAATTCATAATTACACGGGGGGTCTGTCAACCATGTGAAACATTCTGACTTAAACCAGAAAACTCGAGTTTTTATGACAGTTACAACCTAAAATAAAAGTGTTCAGTGATCATCAGGTTCTGTCCTGAGCAGGAGAGAACAGTTCCAGGATCTGGTTGTGCACCTTGGTGACAGGGGCCGACTGCCTGGCACAGCCCAGTGATCTTGCTTTTGAGAAACAGAAAGCTACCTACAGTCACACCCTCATTTCTATCTACCGGGGACTCCGAGTAGTCCCATTACACAGAGATCATTCAGGCTCCTGCTTCTCCCCCTCCCCATGCGTTTTAGCGTTTTATCACAGCTCCTTTGCATTCTCTCCCACACCCCCCCGCGCCCTTCAGCTCTGCATAAAGTGAGGCTGGGGGCTTAGAAGCCCCTGGTTTAAAGGGACCAGATTACTAGATAATAATCAAGCTAAATGTCTAACTCTGAGGACCCTCCACACACACTTTGGGCCCAGTTCACTCTTCTTCAGGGACGGAGAAAAACCTGTCTCTGATTTTGGGCCCACCCAAATGTACTACTACCCAATACTTAGAATAGCCCGAGAGGACATCACCAAGCAAAGCTGTGGAGGCCGGTGACCATGTGAAGGCAACACCACGACATTACCTTATGCTGCCAGGGAGACTGGGAAGCCTGCCCTCCACTTACCTGCTGCCTGGTAACTAAGTCAAAGCTAATGGGGAAACGAGGGAGGCCCAGGACACTTCATAACCAACTCCATTCCCACTGGCTCAGTGATTCACCACCTTCCTGCTCCCCCCGCTCCTTCCCTAAGAAACACTATTTTGGAAAAGATAAAAGACAACTAAAAAAAAGCAGGCCTAATGCTGAATAATGTATAAGGCAGAACAAATTTTGTTTTTTGATGATGTTCACAAAAATAGGTTGTGGTTCTTTATCATTCTGGCAGTAGTCAATCATTTGTATTAATACTTTGGATTAGAATCAGTTCCAAATCACATACAGATCCTCAATGGTACTGTTAAACTCAGATCAACTAATGACTTTCTTGTAGCCAATGGCTTCACTATCTGCTCTGGTTACAGAGGCTCTTGCCCTCTCAGGCTGCCCAGCTCTCTGCAGCCCTCCCCTCCCTCAAACACACTGCACACCCCTGCACAGGGCCTCTGCACACGCCGTCCCCGCCCTGGCACTTGGCCCCTATTCCAGTGATGGCAAACCTGTGACATGCGTGTCAGAGGTGACACGCGAACTCATTTTTTTGGTAGATTTTTCTTTGTTAAATGGCATTTAAATATATAAAATAAACATCAAAAATATAAGTCTTTGTTTTACTATGGTTGCAAATATCAAAAAATTTCTATATGTGACACGGCACCAGAGTTAAGTTAGGGTTTTTCAAAATGCTGACGCGCCGAGCTCAAAGGTTCGCCGTCACTGCCCTCTTCGCTGAGTTCATGCTGCTCCTACTCACTTAGTCCAGCTCTGAACTCCCTCCAGCACCAGCTGCTGTGGCAGCGGCCACTTCCCAGCGTTGTTACTGGACACACGCCTGCCTTCCCTGCCCGACTGTAGACGCGACGATCAGTCCCCGGCATGCCCCTTGGCTTATTTTTTAAATAAATGAACAAGAATCCTTTTTTGTCTCCCATTCTCATTATCGAAGGCAAACACCGCAGTCAGTGATGATAAAGCAGGCAGTGTAGGGATGTAAGAAAAATAAGGAACAAACAAGGGCCAACTAAACCACCAGGTGTGCAGTAACCGGAAGTTGAATTTTTTACATCCACTCTCTTCACTAATGTTGGAAACAGTCACTTGTACACCATGAATCTTTTATGCTAAAAGTTATAGAATCAAGCCTTAGTTACATCCAATAATAATACTAACATATAGAATTTCCTGTCTGGTTTAAAATACATAATTTACCTCATATGGGAGTAGTTCTTATCTAGCTAGTCTCTGAGGTTAAAAACTTATTTGAGCCCTAACCGGTTTGGCTCAGTGGATAGTCAGCCTGCGGACTGAAGGGTCCCAGGTTCGATTCCGGTCAAGGGCATGTACCTTGGCTGCGGGCATTTCCCCAGTAGGGGCTGTGCAGGAGGCAGCTGGTCGATGTTTCTCTCTCATCGATGTTTCTAACTCTCCCTCTCCCCCTCCTCTCTGTAAAAAATCAATAAAATATATTTTTTTAAAAACTTATTTGAAATACCAAAACACAGGCAGGCTAGGCTGAAACCACTCCAAGACAGTGCTTAAAACATTATTTTCACTCATATAAGCCAGTGCGCGAGTATTTTAAAAGTAGGCATGTCTCCTCTTACCTCTTTCACAATGTTGCTCACTTCGTCAACAACAAAAGTGGTCTGCAAGGAAGAACAGGGGCAGAGCTGGATTTAAAAGGTTCCCGTCCATGGAGCACTGACTCATGCCAATCTAGGCAACGAGCACTTGAGAAGTGAAGACCTTCCTTTTCCCGAGGAAAACATCACGGAGTCTCCAGCGCGAAGGGCTCGCCCAGGGGCCGGGCCCGGGGCCGGGAGAGACGTCGGGAGGGTTCTGGTTTGGTGTCTGCTGGGATCATGCCAGGACCCAAAGGGCTGGCTTGACACTAGAATTTAACCTCTCCATCCACGTCCACTGGCCACTGGGATCCTTGGCCCACATGGAAGCCGATCGAACCGCGCACCGTCACAATGACAGTCTTCCGCTTCGCCAATTGTGCGCTTCAACCCCGTCTTCACCGAGACAATGAGGTGCCCCCCGACCCCACTGACAGGCGCTGTCTCACCGCCGGCTCGAACCCAAACCGAAATAACGGCCTTTATCCCCCAGGACGCCCGGTAGCGAGAGCCCGGTGCGCACGGCGGGTGGG